GTGTAGGATTCAGACCCGGGTGACCGGTCTACTTATCCCCCACAATCCATAGAGGATGGAGTACCAGTCCTGCGTGGCCCCTGCCTGTGACACCCCGGTGACTCAGGCTGCTGGGTGCCGAGTTGACACTGTGGTCTGAGGCACATGCTGTCATCCCGGCCCATGCCACAGGGCACTGAAGCACATCTGCTACGGGTGGGAGGCGGGGTTCCACACGGCCTCTGTTGGGAAGGAGACAGTAGCTTTGAATCCTCAGGCCCCAGAACCCATTAGCTGTCAGACTCTATTACTTCTGCTGCTCAAATCTCATCAGCAGGTATGAAATTGCCTTTTGATACTCAACAGTAGACATTTAAAGCCTCCGCCTGCTCTCAGCCTCCTCAATCCCCTGCCATCCTTAGCTGGTATGTTCCAAATAGCAGAGCAGAAAGAGCCTGAGAGGAGGGGGAGTGGGGTTTGGGGGCCAGTCTGTGGGAGAGGGTGGAAGGCATGGCCTAAGGCAGCAGTTCTCAACCTGTGGGTCGCAACCCCTTTGGGGGTCGAATGACCCTTTCACAGGGGTCGCCTGATTCATCACAGTAGCAAAATGACAGCGATGAAGTAGCAACGGAAATAAATGTATGGTTGGGGGAGGTCACCACCACATGAGGAACTGTATGAAAGGGTCGGGCCTGAGAAAGGTTGAGAACCACAGGCCTAAGGAAAGACAGCGTGGGGAGGGCGTGGAACAGAGACCTATGGGTGATTCAATGCTAAACACCCTCAGAGACCCCTGCTTGAAATCTCCATGCCGTGGCCCTGGCTTATAATAAAACCTGGAACTACCTGTAGGTGATACCTCTGCAGCCCTGGTAGTGGAGTGGTTGGGAGCTGGGCTCCGATCCCACCAGGACCGCAGGTTGAAGACCAGCCACTCCACAGGAGAAGCATGGGTCTGTCCACGCCCATCAATGGCTGCCACCTGGGAAACTCACCAGGCGGGTCTACCCTGTCCTATTGGGTCGCAATGAGTCAGCATCGACTCATTGCAGTGGGTTTGGGTTTTGGTGTATGGAGCTTTGAGAGTGTGTTAACTGGGAAGGGACTGTACGCTTTAAAACGGTGGAGTTGACTTGAATTAAAAAGAAGTAAGCAACAACAGGCTTCTTGTCCCTTCTGCAAATTCCTACAGGATCTACTTGCCTCTCTGCCCGCATCATCCCCTCCTCGCCTGGTCACCTGCTTTCTGGAAACAGCCAGCCCTTGGCTTTGCCTCAGGGCCCTGGCACTTGCTGCTTCTTCAGCCAAGTACACCTGTCCCCTCAGGCCTCCCAGATGGTCCCTCCTCCTCATTCAGGTCTTGGCTCCTCAGAAGGGCCTTGCTGGTCCCTCATTCCCTGGCTCCTCTTTCTTCACCGTGCCCACCACTAACTGAAATGATGCCCTCTTCTCTTGTTTGCCAGACTGTGGGCACGAGTCTGGGCCCTCAGAGGCT